CAAAGAAAAAAATATATGAATAAGAGGACAAAACATTCATTTTTCGAAAGGTATTGCCGGTAGAAAAACAGTAAAGGAGTGCGCTCTTTCAGCCGAAGTCGTAACTATGGTGTACAAGTAAAACTGAGGCATCGTATTATCTTTTGCACCCACCTACAGGCTCTGTTTTACCATCTATACTTTGGTGATGGAAACACATATAGCACCGATAGAATGAAAACATGGATGAGATAACGAAAGAGCATCGATTAGTGTGGTAGGTAGCATACGAGCTACCGATGAGGGTAATCGCGGGTTCGAAGCCAACTGAGGTGCTGAGTTTTGCTCATATCTCATCATCCTTGCACTTATCTCTTCAGCAAGTTTTTTTGTGCCCATTATAGTTGCTAAACAGCATTCCTCCGTTGCCGCTTAGTGTGGAAATGATGCCATACAAAACGCCTAAGCGGTAGAGGAAACCAGAGGACGGGATATTAGACATGTCCGACTCATACCGACCAATGTAACCTCCATATATTTTGCACTCTGACCTGTGTGTCGTTCATTTCATAAGACCTTTCATAGGTTTGACAAATTTAGAACAACTGAAGATTTAGGCATCACCGCGTAACACTTAGGGGCACGTTGTAGGCATTATAATCAACTTCCTTTAAAGCTAACAGATTATCTGTGTAGATTTTTTTTACATAAATTCCTATCTGTTCGTTCGCGTTTGGCACATCTCAGAGACTCGTTTGAAATAGAGCACCACTTTGCTATCAGATTCCTACTTATATAATTTTGCTGACCAAAACTTGAGCAGTTACGTTTCTAAAATAAACAAAATAAATCACAAAAATTATGTTAACGTCCAATGTGTTCACTCATCGATAAGCAACACAAGGTTCATAAAAACTTGATTCTGTAAGGCCTTCGCCTTCCTCAGAGTCCGAGTAATGTAGTGGATTAACATGTCAACGAAGGAATGCAATGATTATTCCACCATGCCACAAGGGTAAATGGTAGTCTGCGTATAAAAGTATGTTAATACTGTAGGATTTTTTCAGCAGTTTGCACTTCTCTCAATAATATTTTCGATATGGTGTAGTTGTTTAGTATGTATTGCGAAACAGGTTTACCCATTGTCTCTCAGTAAGGCCACGACCGAGAATGGATATAAAGGACCCGAAGTTGGAAACGAATACTCAATTTCACACAATTTTTGTCCATTCGTGTTTTTCTCGCCAACAAAAAAACTGTTTTAGAGAGATATGATGAGAATCGCATGTCTTCTTGCCTGTATTTCGACGGCAATGGCTCAAGAGTGTTTCCCACAAACAGCACTTGAAGCCTTCTGCGCTGCGGACTGGGGTAGACCATCAGACTGCTATTGAAATTTTAGGTTTCGATAAATATGATGACTGTGATGCATGCCAATTCCGATTTATCTTATATTCAGTTGTTCTTGCACAACAACCAGGAAACGAACTTATAAAATTCCCTTTATGAGGAATTCATAGAAAAACCACTTCATGAATATAAGCCAAAAGAAACACTAAGGAATTTAATTAATCCATGAGATTTCATTATAAAACTCGGCCTATACCAATAAGGAACTAAAAATATATTTTTATTGAAGTTATTCATAGACTGTTTCTAGTCCTTTTAGTATCCCATGTGAAAGTGATCAACGTTAACAACCCGTACAAACACCTTTGCCAACAGATTGACATCGTTTACACAGTGGAACATCTCCACCACTATAAGGTATCAGAATATTCTTATTTCCTTATAAATATTCGCACAAAATTTTGATAATTGAATAGCTTTTTAGAAGCCTGAATCGTTTTGTGGGCTTCCACCTGTTCTACGTGCGACATTTGACGAATCAGTACGTCTCAATATGCTCCCTGGAAAGGAATACCTCCTAGCAGGTAGTGATTGCTTCGTTTATCTTAGCATTATGAAACGCCCCCAGATCTCCATTGTAGAAAAATCTCATGCCAGCTAGTCGCGAGACAACGTGGCCCTTCTCCAAGCGGCGGAAAAGGCTTTAATCGCGGAGCAAAAACCTCGCGAAACGCCGATTCGGCGACGCTGGGTGAAATGGGTTAGGAGAGGCTGTTTGACAAACTCCTCTTACAATGCAAACCTTCACCTGATTCCTCGGTAGAAATAAGATTTCATTATTGAGGCAAGAAGTACGACGTTATTGGACTGGCTGAGATGAGAAAACGCCACCCATTCAACGTCGTCTGTGGCACCGGAGAAGAACAGTTCCTCGGAATTTACGACAACAGAGGAACCGGCAGAGTTGGCGTTTTCGTCAACGTGGGTTTAGCCATCCACACCGATCCATTCAAACAACTAACAACCCGAATCGCAAATTTACTGTTGAAGTGAAGATATAGAACAGTACTGGCTTTGACGTTCTTTGCCGTCTACACACCATCATTAACATCAACATCAGGCTATATCCAGAACGAATCCGAAGCTTTCTACAGGGGTTTGGAAAAATTCCAAAAAGAAGATCATGGTCATCATCATAAATTTTCATGCTAAGATTGGACCCAGTAGAACGTCTGAAGAACGTCACAATGTGACCCAAGAATTGAAATGGCACAAGTAGGACGGGTGGCTGTTCGAGTTTACCATGACAGCCAACACCAAGAGAGTACCACAGAAAGGAAGACCACACCATGATAAGTCGAAGGTTTTGCTTGACCGATGTCGCTCTAATCCTCATACTCTGCATGGGATCGCCGTCTCCTTCGCGCAAGATTTTATTTCTTGTGGAACGGAGAGAAAACTCTTAAAGTCAAAAAGAAGTAACAAAATCACAGCTAATTGGGATTTATTAAGTTCATTAGTCAGGTCTTATCAAGACAAAGTTGACATAGACGAAAAATACGACCGGTCCAGTCAACATTTCACATTGGCGGAATAATCACTGAGAGTTCAAGTCACAAAGCGATGGATGTGTTCAGAAACACCTGAGTTAGTACGCCAGCGTGAAAACGCACGAGCCACAGGCAACCGCCAACCCATTTCCGAACTTGCAAAACAATCCAGGCAGACGATAGAAGATCTTAAAGTGAGAAGAGCAGCAGTTATGGTTGGAGCTATATAGGTTGGGAAAAAATTGGCAAAGTTCACCGAAACTTCGCCAATTTTAAAACCCCCGGCTATCGCACTATAACCCCCAAACGAGACATCTACCGCTTCCAGAAAGGAGACCGTTCATACAGGATGGACGTTAGTCGATTCCTGATATCCAGTATGATCTGCTTTTTAACGGTCAATGCATACTGTAGTAGCCGACCTTATTTTCTGTCAATATTTTAAAAACATATTGCCATGCTATAAAACGACAGAAAAGGATAAAGCTCTCAGCCCTAATCAATCCCTGAAGGATGCGCCATGCCTTCGAGTTTATTAAGCATCGTTGAAGGTGATTGAATGCTTATTCGGCCTTTACAGTGACTAGCCGTATCCTACTAGTGTATCGAGCCAGTGCTGATATCCTCCTAGACAAGCTTGGTACCACTTGATGAGCCTGGAGCATGGGGAGCAATCCCATGTGCATCGCAGGGTGCCTTACACCATTGCGCCGCACGTGCCTATTGATTTCTGATAGCACCTATAAAACAGGCGGAGAGAAGGGTGAAACTTAGTGTATAAAGATTCTTCGTGAGCCATAAAAAATTCACAGCTAAAATATAACAATTCCACAGCGACATTAATATCGACATCAAAAGAGGATTCAGGGAAGGCCATACCATCTCTCCAAATTGTTCACCGCCATCATACGAACATAGAAATGGGATAGCATGGAAGTAAAAATCGATGGTCACCAGTTACAGCATCTTGGTTTTGCGAACTAAGCCTCACAGAAACGATGTTCGTGAGGAACGGATTGGTTTCGTTATCTCTTTCGTGCTCACCGGAATGAATATCTCCTAATGCTCCATTTACGTCTATCTTGGTAGGGAAATCAACATGATGAACGACTTACTTCCAGTGCTGAGGAAGAGAAAGCGAGTACTTTGGAGAGTTTTCTAGAGTATCCAGGACGTATTGAGGAAAACAAAAAACACACGACTCCTTACCCAACTTTTCTACTTTTTAATCTTCTCTGGCCTGACGTATGAGAAAGCAACTTTGGCACCAAGGATGCAATGTGAAAGGTAACCTAGCGCTGCAGAACGCGCACTCTGAGGACGATGCTGGTAATATCCCGCAACAAGCAGATGAAGGAAAGGACACTGGGAAACAATCCGACACTAGTGTAGAGAACAGTGAAGCTGTTTTCTGTTTTAATTGTTCTTCCTCTATGATGTTATTCAAGTGCATTTCTTGCTGAAAATTATGTCATCGCCACTTTTCTTTCTGAAACTTTGAAATATGTTGTATTGTACGAATATAAAGAGCACTAGATTATATTAAAATACTATAGACGCAATTACTTGCGCACGACTTAAAGAGTTTTGAAATTGAAGGAAATAAGGAATGCGACCTGACACTACATTCGTCCTTTTGTGCTCAAGTGAATGACGATGGAATCAGTGGTGTACAGGAATGGCACAACGTCTCAGAGACGTTGAAGCACGATCTGGAATCATTCCAGTGCTACTATCTATAGACGATCGTAATAAACATAAACTGCATTGTTGTTATGTTCTTCAAAGGAAAGCAATTTCACCGTGTACATGGCAGCACTTCTGAAAAATGCATTCATAACATCGGTCAAGAGAATTATATCTGTAGCCTTCATTAGCCTACACTAAAAATTCATAGCATTCCATCTGGTGTCCGGAAAATGGTGCAGAGCTGCTTAAGACGAAATTGAGGTGAAACAATAGCATGATTGTACTCGGAAGCACAGACGAGTTTCTACTGCAGCAGTGTGCGCACCAATTCCAAATTAATAGATTTGGCGCTTCATGCAAAACAATTTCAAATATTTCTAGAAAGCCAAAATATTTCGCACCGTGTCTTTGTTAGTTAGTAGATTTTTCAGCATGATGTTTAAGCCACCTAAACTCAAGAATTATATAGAGCTGGAACTCTCGGTACAAAAGGTGCCTTCTATGAATCAAAATGATCGGCGAGGGTCGGGTGGCGTAGTGGAAACCGTGCGTTTCATTACTGGCACGGCTCTGGTTCGACACTCCTGTAGGTCGACCATGCTCCTAATACCTCCTACTCGTTGCTGGGAATTTTTTATCAGGATTGTCTGGGTGTGCCTCACTCTCGCAATCCAAATCGGAAAGCTAAACCCAGGGCTCTCACGAATCCACGGATATTCTACTCAGGTGGCAATCAAAGGCATTCGTAAAAAGGACGATAATCCTCAAGGTCGTGTAAAATGAAAAAATTTTTCCCGCAATGTTACAACTTTTATCTAGTGCTTCTTCTTTTTTGATAGCAAGGTATTATGTGAAATATAGCCACAACTTTTTTTTATAACGTTTTTTAAAAGAGCACTGCCTGGTGAGCATGCGTCATTCACACAACGTTCCACTGACGAGAAGATCCGTCTCGATGCGATTACGAGAAGGCGCCACATTGAGAAGAAGAACAACTGTGGACCGTAGACGGATTTCATCGGCTCAGATAAAGACGAAGACGTCGAAACGTTAGGCGAATAAAAGTTGTTTATCAACCTCGTATAAACTCAACAATTTAAAACATGTTGCTTATTATCACAGCCATGTTGAGATATGGAGAATACTGGAGCGTGAACTCCTTGGAAAGGTTAAAAGTCCAGCTGAACGTCCCCGCGTTTTGCTCTTATCTCACCATCTTTGTGGCTGCATAGCCACAACTATATAAACATCTAGCAACACAACATATAACAATTTATTTTACATGACGCTTATCTACATCTACTTTGCGGACTCCAGCACTGCTGGCATTCGGCTCGTTTCCTTTCATGCGTCCTCCATTAAAGTTTTCCAACGTTTCGCGAGTGGGTTTCGCTGCTGACTGAGGATTTTCCCTTCGATATGAATGTAGTTTAATGCTGGCGCAATCGATTTTCCTAGAGTTCTGAAATAGCCAAGTCAGATTCCCACCAATGGCGAATAAACTATAGGTTTATTTCAAAGGTGATGAAGGAAATATTTATAGAGTAAAAGATACAAACACACGGAGAATGAGACATACAGGAATCCTCCGAGTTGAATTACTTGCACCGAGTATATTAGTCACACTGTGGTTCACTTAGCTAACAAACTGACAAAAATCGTACTGAAATTTGAGTACTACTATGTTGAACTAATGTGCATTGAACAAATGTTGCTATCGTACTTTTCTGTGGTTAATCAATCGCCTCTCAAAACGTAATTTCTATGGGCTTCTTTTGTCCACATGCGTTTGCCGAATTGCCAACAACTTCAGCACTACTAACTTTTGGTTGTAATATTGCAACGAGGCTGTAAGTATATTGTTTATTCTGCAACAGTCGATGTTTCTTAGCACTTCGCCCCACATGGGATTGTCATAATTCATCTCAGTGAAGAGAATGCTAGAATCAATAAAAACGTAAAGACTATGTTATAATAACTAGCGGTCAGTCAGCAGTCGTTATTCCGTTGAGGGCATTTTTACATAGTCTGCCGGGAAGATCATACGCACCAATCATGGACTTTGGTTTTGAATTCCCCAGTGAATTCATTTTCAACAATGCAAAGCGATGAACCATCTCACACAAACCACTCCACCGGAACAACCGTAAACCGACCGCAATGTTTTGAATTTTTTGCGTAAATATCGGAATAAACCCATTAACGTTATCTTGGAATTAGAACCCTGCGAATGATGTCAATTTAACAAACGTCAATGAATAGAAGAAGTTCATAAGAAGTGTGTTGCCAACTGGTTGACCAATCCCAAAAAGTGCTATGGCAGCGTTTTCTCAACACACTTTAGTTCTACGTAGTAGTACTCAGATTTCGCCCCAACTTTTGTCACTTTCATTGCTACTGCTGAGATCCGCAGAGAAAATGTGAAAAACGTAGACCATTTTGTACCCACATAAAAAACATCCAGATGGGGAACTTAAAATTCGACGAAGTACTTCACTAGACACATAGGGCACGAAAACCCAATGGTTAAATTTGAAGTAGCTGTTCGGATCGCGGGCAGGAATCAAAAACACGAACGCGCAAAACTCTTGAAGCGTTTCAGACAAGTTTCAAAAGCCCAAAGATGAGCCAGAAAGACGATTGTCTCACTACTACTCGTGACCTGGCGCCTTATTTTAGCTTAATTTTTTGAGCAGACTTAGTCTCAGTCGTCATCCCAAGTGAAAACTGAATGATGAGTACTTTTTAAGCAGAATAGTGCTTATTTCCATGTTAGATCTCCGTTAATGTTATAGATTTTTCATCCAATTATAAGACTATTCTTGCATATAATACGTTCAGACTCTGAAGAACACGAAGTCGGCGAGATGTCTGCCGTCGAACAACAACAACAAAGAGAGCTTATATTAACCTTGCATCATTTCAACAAGAGTAGTTCGTAAGAACATACATAAGGACACGATGATATGTCTTTCGGAATATTTCAAGTTCTGTATTCCTAGAAACTTTAACTCTTTTAGTTTCGAACTGGTGTGGATATGCGGATACTGCTATACTTTGAAACCAATGCTTCCGAGTACAGTCATGCTGTCGTTTCTCGTCGCATTTCGTCGGAAGCATCACTGCACCATTTTTTAGCCATCAACATGTACACTTCAAGTATTACGGCTTTTCAATGCTGACAACTGATTGCTATGAATACAATTCTCTTGACCGACATTGTGAGCACACATTTGAAAAACGCCGCTTTGCGTAGTATAAAACCGTTTCTCTTTAATAAACATAACAACAATGCTGTTCACTTTTATTATGGCCGCGTACAGACCTTAGCAATTGTAGGTGAACAGACCATGCTGCAATGTCTCTGAAACGTTGTGCCATTCCTGAGCGCCATAAATTCCGTCGTCATTCACTTGAACATCATAAGACGTACGAAGTGCCATGTCGCAATCGTTACTGCCTTCAATTATAAAGCACTATTGAATCCTGTGTCAATAATTCTCTTCCTAATAGTTCCCAAGATCGACTTTCTATTAACCTCGACATTGGATTGTAAATTTGTTGTTCTCCTTCTTTTTACAGCAATCGCGAGGTTGTTATTCGGCACACGTTTACTTTCTCACAAATATAACACATACAACACAACGGTAGCTGACGTTTCAGCAGTATCACCTTCTTCAAAGCATGGAAGGATACCTTTATGCATACGTGTAAAATAAGACCTAGGTGGCAAGCGAAAATCGAAACAAGGAACTCCACCAGGCACGCATAGAGTAGAAAAAATAGCGGAGAAGATTTTGATGTGAAAGTCGTTGTCATCGCACGGGAAACACCAACGCAAATTTCTCGGGGCATTTTGGATAAATTCCAAAAATCCGAGAATGAATATCAGGGAAGAATGCCCTGAGATAACGGGTGATCCGTATCTCAGAACTGACTTTTTTTCGGGTTTTTCGAGGAGCCGGTGATCGTGTAATTATTGTTCAGAATTCCACCTTTCTGTTTCCGTTTTTGAAGCGTTTGACCTAGTAAATTACATATTAGTGTACCCTGCCAGGCTCTGAAGAAGGCGATTCTGGCGATACGTCAGCTGCCGATGTGTTATATGTGTTATATTTGTGAGGAAGTAAACGTGTGCTGAATGACAACCTCACGATTGATGTCTTCCTAATATTGTACTGTTATGTATTTCTCTCTTCGCACAAACGAGACATCATGTTTTCAAGTCGGGACAGAAGAAGTGGGCGGAATACTGATGTTCCATAAAATCTCACCTTTTGGAGTAATTTTCCTTCTTTTTCAGGAACAGTGACAAAAATCTTAAAAAGAAGTACACTCAAATACTGATATATTTGGAAAAGAATCATTGCTCTCTACACTAGAGACCAACTGCTTACAATTTCTCATGATCAATGGAACCAATAACTTGAACTGAACCAGTGGAATTGCTAACAATGCAGCTGAATTCACCTTATGGTTGTAACTATAAAGAGCTGACTATTAAATAATTCTAAGACCAACTTGTTCGGAATACAGCAGAATAATCTTCTGTTCTTAATTGTTTCAGTATGTGTTTTTTACATGTACTTCAAAACAACGACTATATCACAAATCGTCACCTCACCAGTCATCCCGTTCATTGTCGAGTGATTGGAAAAGCTGAAGCAAGCTTTCCATATCTCCCTATCGTGTGTGAGAGAAATGCAGAGAGTCCTTCTTCTCGCACTAAGGACTCGTTGATCGCCGTCCCTTTCCTGTGAACAACTTCGATCATCGGGTTGTTGGTCTTCCTGTTGTGCGTTTGACATCCAGAGTATTCGAATCACTAGTGATCTTGTTCATCGTTTGTCGTTCATACCATTAGGTGCCCGGTTCTCCTTATTTTTAAAATTTTGCCGTGTTAAACGGGATTTTCATTCTTTCCTGGCCTCTTCTTTCTGAACAGCTTTTCAAGTCCAGATATATTATCCATCGCCTAGGTCTTGTGCAATTCCAAGTTGGTGTATTATCCCGAGTGCTTGTGAAGCAGGAGGCAGAGACCCTTCTATGAGGGGAATCCATTGATCGTTACTGATACTTAAATACTTGGACGTCTCGACCTCGCTGGCTGTGCAGACCTCAGCACAATCTCCATTTTTCGGAGTTTTGCTGGTCTAACTATTGCGTTTCTCTGGAGTCCCGAAGTCGACCAATCCAAAGTCTGCCTCAGCAGTCGTAGCCCTTGTGGATTAGAGGGAGATTTGCCACAACGCGACTAGTTTAGTACCAGGACGGTGGTCGATCCTGGTAGTGGTTTACTATAAGCTGGGTTTCCTGATGTAAAAGTCGGGCTCCTTTTCAACTTGGGAGACCCTGCTGGGAGATAAATTTCCCGCTCTACATCGCAGTCTTACACCCAAGAACACCTAAACACCTAGCCACGATTAGGTGGTAAACCGTTGGGAGATAGCGTTACGTAATGCTTAGAAAATGCATATTTTTAGTGACTGCAGCCGTATGAACAAATTAATCAATACCTGCTAAGATGTATTCTTTTCCAGCGGTCATATTGAGACGTTGCGCCTCGTTGGACTTCGCAAGTAGAAGAGGCGGAAGCTTACAGTACGAATTGGGCATCTAAAAATATGTTCGCAAGTCGAAGTTCAATCCGAACCATTTTAAGGAACAAAAATCTTCTGTTACCCTGTAGTAGTAAACATGTTCGATTGTATAAACAACGTCAAACTGTCCGCTGTGATCTTCGTACGGATTGTTAACGTCGATCACTTTCACTCGAGATACTGAAAGGGCTGTAAACAATCAACGAATGATTTCAACAAAAATTTATTTCTTCGTCTTTTTGGTGTATACTAGGGCCTGTAACAAAATTTCCTTGCTTAATTAGATTTATCAATGGAACCAATGATAACTCATCAATGGAATTTTAGAGGTTCATTTTCTGATTGCAGTACAACACCAGTCGAACATAAGACAAATCGAAGTCGGCCAACACAATAGTCACTGTTACTTACTGAGTCCTAAAATTTCAAAATCAGTTTCATACTCTACCCCAAGCCGCAGCGCAAAACGCTTTTCGTGCCTCCGGTAGTGGGTAGCAATCCGAACATTCATGAGCCATTGCCGTCGAAATGAAGGCGAGAAGACATACGATTCCCAGCATGTTTCGCTAAAATGGTTCATTGTTGACGACAAAAGCACGACTGTACAAGGTATGTGAAATTGAGCATTCCTTTTCAACTTCGGGTCTTTTATGTACATTTTCGGTTGTTGTGTTTCTGAGAGACACTGCTTAATCCTGTCATCCAGTGCATACTAATAACCAAACCATGTGGAAAATATTGTTGAAAAAAATGCAAACTACCGAAAAAATCGAATAACATTAACATACTCTTCTATATTGACTGCCATTTAACTCTGTGCAGTGATGAAATAACCAATGTATTTCTTCGTTGATAAGATGGTCCACTCGAATTATTCCGACACTGAGAAAGACGAAGGCGTTACAGAACAAAGTTTCCATCAGGCTCGCGCTGCATATCAACGATGGAGCACATGGAGTTCCGCTTCTAGTTCAGCACGAATCCAGTGTTGCAAAAATAACTCGAAGTAGTGCCAAAGCACGAACGAGGGAAGCGTTAGTGATTCACGGTTCGTAACGGGTGCAAAAAGTGTCTTGTTTCTGAGTCCGATAGTCTTGAGTCTTGATGACGACGAAGTCTTTTTTCAAGTTTTCACGACAAAGAATGTCGACGATGACCATCTGAAAATTTCTTGTGTGGTTGCAGAAGAACTCCAACATTCCTCGTCTAGAGGAAATCTAACGAATGAATATTGGAAGTGACTTGGATCAACGGCCCTAATGAAGGCGAAGACGTCAAAACGCTAGCCGCATAAAATTATTTATCAACGTCATATTCGCTTATCAATGGAAGAATACATGCTGATTAGTTATGCCGAGGTTAGAAGAAGGTCAGTTTTTGAAATATTCTAATAGTAGTACTTTTCATTTGTTGCCCACTGTTCTTTTTTTTGATGCTGAAATATTTCCAAACCTCCGGATCGCATGTACCTGCAGTGGGGACCGAACCCGCTGTTACACTTTCCGGAACTGGTTCTGCCATTAAGAATATGAATAGGCAGTAAAGAAAAATAGACTGCTTTGTGATTTATACTAAAGCGTCAGCTTAATTGAGTTCAATGCTGATTTGCGCTCCACAGATCAATGCCATTGACGAGTAATTGGTTAAAGCACATATAAGGTAAAACAGAGAAGAGATAATGGCGTAACGAAGGATACGCATGGTGCGGTGGCGAACACGTTGGTCCATGAAGAGGGCATTAACGTGTTCAGTCCCAACCAGAGACACGTGCGTTCAGTAGTTTTGAAAATATTTCAGCATAATTGTGGTTATTTTCCGGTAGTGTTGCCAATAAAGTATTGTTTAATATGCCGTGTGAAATATACTCGTGTGATGCGCCTGCAATAATATTGGAAGATCACGCGTTTCTTGAGTATGGACCAATGGACTTATGTTTCACGGAACTGCTTGAACATGAATATCGTGCGCTGGTCGCTTTGAGTACCCAATCAACAATGTTAGTGAGGGCTTAAAAAGGTATTATTATTGGAATATTATTACCGGGATTATACCGGGTCAACACCGCGGAGGAGAAATGAAGGCAAGAAGACATACGATTCTCAGCACGTCTCGCTGAAATGGTTCTTTTGTTGACAAGACATTTTCACAGACAAAACGAACACAGGAAAACACAAAAGATAGAAAACACATTTCTAAGCCAGTGTTCATTTCTCACATTTTTTCAGCCTGCCATAGTGAGGGGTTCCATTTGCTTAATCACTTTCATACTTAGTCGTTATATTGGCAATCACTTGAAGACGGTTTACATGGTTCTCCCAAGATTATAACGCCGTGTAATTAGGCTTAGTTTTTAGTAGGAGCACAGTGCTGTGGAAGTAACTCGAAGTAATGCGAAAGCGTGAATGAGCGAAGCGTTAATGATTTACGGTGTGCATCGGATGCTAAAAGCTTGTCATTTCTGATCATAGTTAGTCATCTTCTTTCACGATAATCGACGTGAACCGTTTCAACATTACCTGTGAAGTAGCGGAAGAACTCTAACGTTTTCTGTCTAGAGGAAATCAAGAAGGTCAACAACTGCGACGAAGGAACTGCAACCCTGCTTGTAGATGGAAGATGAACAAGAAAATCGGCCTAGCCATATCTCATTTACATTTCCTAAGACAACAAAAACGTCCTACTCCTCAACCACACTGTAGCGAATAAAGGTTGAATTTTAAAGGACAATTCATGACCTTGCACAGCAGTGGTCTGAACAAAGTGAGGCCACTAAACACTTCTCAATGCCGATTTAACGCTGAAAACAGATGTTGCACAACAAATGCTGCAAAAGTTTAACGAATAACACTAAGAAGCCACCTTTACCAGCGCGCTTATCTCTCCCAGCAATCATTTATTTTCGTTTGGTTCTTGAAAATTGTTTATAAAACCCTAATAATTCGCTGGTCAGCAGAGCGGAGTTTGAAAGCCGGCTTTTATTCTGGATCACTGCGATAGTGTTGTTGAAGCACTATTGTCTACTGTTTCGTGTGAAATGTGCTGTGTCGACAAATATGTTGGAAAAAGTTGCGTTTCACGAGTATCTAGTGGACTTATGCATAGAACTGTCTGGACAGGAACATCGCGTGCTGGCCATTTTGAATTCCCGATAACAACGTTATTGAAGGTTTAAAAGGTATTATTATGGAAATACTACTACCAGAATTATTCCTGTAACGCCAATGATAAACAATGGATAAACCTGCACCATGTGGGCCGTGAAAATATGCAAACAACTGTATTGAAGAGATCGAGAGTACTTGGAAATAGCTGGAAATATCTAAAGAATATTTTGTGTTTGTTTATTTTAGTACTTAGTCACTATCAATGTCTGTGGAGTGGATCAATAAGATAATGTGGGTTCAGTCAAGCACTTTTGAAGCATATCGGGAGTGTGACCGCCAATGCCATCATTTTGAGACCTGTACAAGCTGTCGAGGGTTAAATAAGTGGCATCCTGTCTGTAGTAAAGCTCTTTACAGTCATTGTGCTCCATGCAGTTTACACGCTCAAAATTGCAAAAAAGTTAACCACAGGTGGTTCTTTTAATCCTTTGCAAACTCCATCGGTGCAGAGAAGGAGCGAGAAAATCGGAACTTCAGTGCTTTATCTGCACTTTTTCACGTACAGAGAACGTGCAACTTCTGAGTCACATCGTCGCAAACAAAAACTGAATTTTACAGGACAATTCGCGACGTTTAAAGCAGTAGTTAGGAAGAGATGATGCTGCCAAATGTTCCTCATTGTGGATTTTCACTGAAATTAGGCTCTTGTGTCTACTCGTAGACTCGCAGCGGAAGGGTTCAATCTTTTCTACAGTAGTGATTGACAACACACTGAACAATTAAAGCCGCAGTTCGTGGACAAATCGCACTAAGAAACTCTGTCGCCCAGCATACTTATTCGATGATTAGCCCTTACTTTCTTGTCTTTTGGGAAAGGTTTGCGAGAACACAAAGATTTTGTCCTTATACAACTTTCCATCTATAATATTATGAGTTAGTTCGTATTTTTTTGAGCAAACGCGAGGTGTTATTGTTCCTCGTTCACGATTAAGCTGACGTTTCGGCGAATTTCGCCTTCTTCAGAGCCTGGAAAGGTCAAGTTGATAGCAACTCACTCGGCCAGACGCCTCCATAACTAAACAAAGAAACCCCAAAACCAAGATTTCAATCACTTTGAACACAGCTTTGCACACTCACCGCTTTCTATGAGGTCTCCACTAAGTATGTCACGTAGAGACCAACCGCACAGAAATCACGTGGAAGTATAATGTGCCCCTCACATCAGAAAAGCAGTTTTATATACTGCCCTATATCACGCGTGATAATGAGGCATTCTTCCCTGCGGTTCATTTTCGGATATCTGGAATTCAGAGTGCCTCGAGGGTTTTTCGCGCCTGTGTTCTCGATTCGCGTGCGAGGATCGTGACACATACTTCGAAGTCGTCCCCGTTATGTCTCTGGGTCCTATGCGCGCCTAGCGGGGTATTTGGTCTATTTTTGCCGGCTAGGTGTTCTTTCATGCGAACACAGAGGGGTCTACCCGTTTCGCCAATGTATTCGTCACCACACGTCTTACAGGAGATCAGATAAACTATACCCGAGCTCATGCAATCACCGTCTCTACCACTGGGGCAGATCATGCAATTTTGAGTTGCACATAGACGGTCATATAGGCGGTTACGAACTAGCTGGCGCTTAAGATTACTCGGTGGTATTTCAACTACGCTTACCGAATTCTCTAAGCCCGCCCTTCTCAAGCAGCGTTTTATAGCTGTACTTATATCATTTGAGATGAAGGGTAGGATAAACGGGACCCTTCTATCGCTAGAGTTGTCGTTTGGAGGCCTACGATTTCCTCTACACCTATCCTGAGCTACAGTTTCGTAGCCATTAGAAACGGCTATTTGCCGTGCCAAGTTCCGGGACTCCTCTCTCTGCTCTCTTCCCGTGCACACGTTGGTTGCTGTTCGAAACATGTTTCTTATAAGCGCCCTTTTCGTGTGAGAGGGGTGAGAGGAGAGGTAATGAACCAAGATATTTTTACTACTTGGCTTTCGGTACCACTTTGTAATGTAGCCATTTTCTGATAGGTGAATTTGTACGTTCAAAAATGGAAGCCATTTTTCTTTCGGCTTTTCTCGGGTGAACTTGATATACTCTGACTGTGCGTTTAACAATTCGAAGCATTTGTCCATTTCCTCTTGTGTTGAGCAAAGGACAAAGCAGTCGTCTACATACCTACAGTAGAGTAGCGGCCCGAGGTCAGTCACCGGTGCTTCCACCTTAGACATAAATGCAATGGCAAGGCTTGGAGCCAGTCGTTGTCCCATTGCCAACCCTCTTATTTGAGCGTAGTACTTTCCGGACCATCTGAAGATTGAGCAGCTCAAGCATTCCTTTAAGAGTGCTATCAGGTGCTCTATCCTAAAGCCATACATGTTTATTTCTACTTCGTGTTGTGTAAGGAGTTCAAATATGTCTTGCATTGCGGAGTCATTCGACACATTTGTATAAAGGGCGGTAACGTCGAAGGACTCCATCACGCACGCGCTGTTGGGCTGCGCAGTACGTAGACGATCCAGAAACATCTGGGTATTCGTAAGATGGGCTGGAATGTGTTTCAACAACTGGTTAAATATTAGGGTTAAAAACCATGTTATCCTGTCCGTTGGCCCGTCTTCACAGCTAATGATAGGTCTAACCTTAAATAGTGATGGATCGGTAGACGCAAGATCATCGCTGGATACTAACTTATGAGTTTTTATAAGTAAGTAAAAGACGGGGCATGTTGGTAAGGCAACACAAAATTCATCGATTTCTGTTCACTGGTAAGTGAAATCGGCAAAGATAAGGCCAGTGCAAATGGACAAATGTTCTGAACTGTTAAATGAGGAGCGAGACAGAAAATAGGATTTAAAAAGTAACGATGGATTTCCACCGAGAATAGCTGTAGAAAGAGTGGACCTGCTTTCGGACGTTCAAGTACAATACCGTTAACTGTATGATAACAAGATCCTTCTCGTTACCTCTGTGCTCATTCCTCACATACATGAACAAAGCGGAGAAAACGCCTAAGAGAGACGCTAAATTCACGCCTTCAGTGACGATGAATCTGT